GAACGCGAAAATAACAGCCCATGACTGACGTGCGAGGGACGGAAGTCAGCCAGGGAAAGTCGGTCAGGCGATCTGACACCGCGTTCGCGAAATAATTTACCGAGGGCATAAGCGCGGAAATAAGGGCCCATAACCAACGTGCGCGAGATAGAAGGTGGTCAGGGAAGGTCGACCGCGAGATCCGACCAAGCATAAGCGAAATTGCGGACCATGCGTTACTTCCTAGAAATAATAGGCTATGACCGACGTCCGACACCTGGGCGACGGTCAGGGGAAGTCGGCGTCAAGCTGGTGACCTTGATCAGCAATCCGGAAGCCGGGACGTCATCTCCAGGAACAAGCGGCGGAAACGAGTTCCAGCGGTCCCAAAGATCGGTCATAGGGGATCGACGTCAACGGCAAGCACGGTGCAGGTCACCCGGACATCTTCTCCGAGGAGGTCGTCCGGGAGCGTGTCCCTTAGTGTAAGAGAAGTCGTGCGCATAGGTCGGCGTTGTCGGCGGACGAAAAACGAAAAAGGTGAAAACCTGGTGCATCGGGGCCAGGGCGCGCAGGTCGCGCGAGCGCAAATCCGGTGGAAATTTCCGCGGTGACGTAGTAGAGCGCCCGCACGCGTAAACAGCGTGGTAGGGGAAAAGAGATAGTCGGAACATCTGGCACTACGGCGCAATAGGCGACGGAGTGGGGGCTGCGACCAATAGTGGGAAGCCTGAGAGAGCGCCGTCGCTCGAACTCGAGGCGTCTCGAGGCAGTCTGTCGGGGATCCTCGTAGAGGTAACACTATATCACGCGCTAACGTTCCTCGTGTACTCTAGGGTGCGTTCGGGGAGCTCGCTACCGCGCTACCAACGCTAACGCTATTAACTCCGTTCATGGAGCCATGATAGCGCTAGCGAATGCGACCTCCATCAACAGCAGTAGCGTACTAGCGTAGCGTTTCGTAGACCCCTGCGTCGCCAAATTTAAAAAGCTGAGTTAATAGATGCTGTTGTATCAATTACTTCTTTAATATTTTCAGGTCAGAAGTTGAGAGTAGTATGTGTGTAAATGAATACGATTCATTCGTAGTAAAACAACTTAAATAAACTATTTTACAAAATATAAAAAAGCGATTTTAAATTCATGAAACTCATATTTGCGGAGCACCTCTGGATCCGACTCTTCAAAGTGTTAGAGGTGTTGCTGAAAATCTCGCAGACAAGCAGCAATCTCCTAAGGAATTTTTAATATATATGATCCACAAAATGTTTCCCCTGAATATTAGAAATGAGCAGATTAGATTATTTTTATATTTTATTTATTAACATTAAGCGACGTTTTAGATTAGATCATATGTTAACAAATATTTTTGTTCTAGTAAAACTTATTGTCCAATTGAGTGACATTGTTTTTATATATAAAATGAGAAATATAATTATATATATATTTTTTAATAATATATCCATATTTGGTTCTATTTGATTATATGCTATATAAAATTAGTTTATACTTTTAATACAATGAAAAAATTAGTGTATATGAATTTTGTCCATTAAGCTATATATAACTTTTATTACAGTTTTTATAAACTATATATCTAAGCAATACTTAGTCTAGGTAATTTACAGTATCTAGATTTACAAAATCTAGGCTTAATATTGTATAATTAAGCCTAGTATATATAAGTCTTACATAGTTTATATTTGCAACAGCTTCTATATTAATCACCAAATATAAGATTATTATTTTTATGATATATATAAGTTAAATTTTCATGTTTAGTTTTACTTTTTCATATACTATGTTTACGCGAGTGTTACTTCTGTAGTAACTTACGATATATCACTCGTTTACGCGGAATAAATTATCGTAAGTTACTACAAAATCCCGTTTACGCGAAGAAATTATTGTAAGTTACTACAAAAGTAACGCTCGCGTAAACGTAGTAATAGTAGCAGATTATCCTAATAAGTCATGTAAGCTTCTTGGAGTTAAAAAATTACGATTGGAGTTGGCTGCGAAACATATAATAAGCATTATTTTTTCTGAAGATCCTATTCTTGTCAAAGTTAAAAAGTATTTACATATGTCAGAATCTATTATATCGAAGATCCTCTACAATGGTGGAATAAATTAAATGAAGTTGTCACTGCCGAATTTGTACAAATTGGTATGCTGCATTTATGCCATACCGCGATTACAAGTTCAGCTTCTGAATGCGCGTTTTCTTCTGCAGGTTTGCTTATCACAGCAAAACGTTCTTCGTTAAAACCATCAAAATCTAATAAAATATTTTTTATTTACGGTAAAGTAAAATAAGTTTTACTATTATTTATACAACTTAATATGTGAAGAAATATTTAATAAGTAAGAGAGAAAGAAGTCTGATATCTGATGGTTATACATATACAGTGAATTACATTTTATTTTTGTTACGTATGATGGTCAGGAATAACATTTTAAGATAAATTTTATTTTCTTTTGTGAAAAAAAGAGACATTAATAATGCTAATGAAATGATCGTATTTTGAAAACAAGTGCTGAGTATTTATTGTTTGCTATTTTTGTTCATTCCGATAAATTATCACTCGCCAATTCCGCCGCCGCTGAAAAAGAAAATTATTATATAAATATATTATATATATATATCTGTTTGGCGCACCGCCGTGTATCATAGTGTAAATAGTAGCTAATTATAAGATCGATTTCGTGTTGTCGCTTCACATTGTTAATTGTACGGTTCTTGTATTGATTAGTTATACCGGGTTAAATTATTGCGCTTATTAGCGAAACGTCGGTGGATCGCGATTAGTACACTTGTCGATATTCGCGCGACTCACCCGACTCGTGCTGCCCGCCCGCGGGTGGCATCCCTCATTATGAGAAGAATTCGGTACTCGCTCGCGCCGTACTTCGCAGGTGCGCGAGTCGGAGAACGAAAAAGAGGGACTCAGCTCAAATAGTCAGAGAGGACACATCTCTCCGCAGAACTTTTCGTCAAGCCGCCGTGCGGCACACATATTCGCAAGACAGCCGTCTTACGGCAAACACATTTTTGGCCAGCCGTCTTACGGCAGGGACTCATCAGTCGAACGTCGTGAAGCTCACACGTTACCGTTTTCGCATGTGCAAACTTGGAGTGCTCGGTCGCCCATCGCAGGCCACGAAGGCCTAATCGCTTGCTATTCTGCCTATCTGTGCCTGCTTGCTATACCTGCCTGTCCGTGCCCGCTTGCTATACCGGACTGTTGCATGCTTTCGTCTTGCACGCCAGAGATCTCGCCAACGGGAGGACGACGTCGACACCCAGGAGGCGCCGGGCAACGACACGGTGAGTCGCCACGCATTTTTTGATATTCGCTTGCTTGCTTCGCTTTATTCGCTTTCGCGAGGGCACGGGCCCTCTGGTCCTTCGAGAAATTTTGTTGACCAATCGCAAATCCGGGGAGCGCCTCATACCCCCCCGTGCATTGGTCCTTTGAGCCGGATTTCGCGTTAGAAAATTACCGCCGACCTTTCGCTCACGTCGCATCATTCATTAACTTGTTAATTTTCGCACATTCTTGTAATCGCGCATCGCGATAACACGTGGCGCGTGGTAGTCTCTCGCGATATCTTTCGTGCGCAACTCCTTGTGACGAGAATACTCGCGTGAACTTCTCTGGTCGCAACCATGCCATTGCTGTTATCTGCCTTTGTCGTGAATACGCTTAATTGTTTGTTCTTATAGTCGCGAGATGCAGTAACGCGCGGCGTGTTAATAATCTTTAGTCTCGCGCGATATCTCTCGTTCGCAATTCTTAATTCGCAGCGAGAATACTCGCGTGAACTTCTCGCTCGTCGTAACACGTTCCGTCGCTGTTATTCGCATTAACGCGAATTGCAATAACGCGTGGCGTGTTAATAATCTAATTAATTCGCGACGAGAATATTCGCGTGAATCCACGATCTCGCGCGATATCTCTCGCTCGCAATTCTCTCGCTCGTTGTAACACGTTCCATCGCCGTTATTTGTACTAATCGTAGATTGCGCAATTGACGCGGTAATTAGTTAAAACCCGTCATTGTTAACATAGAAACCGAAATATTCAGATCTCGAATATTCTCGGGCTGGCCATACGTTTTCGCCGCGCCGTCGACGGCCTTGACGCTCGGTCACGGGCCGGCAGCGTATGTACATACACAGTTTTTCTACATAAGCTCGCGTTCCATAATAACGCGCTACCTTATTTTCGTTGTTGCTGGGTGTGTTTCGGCCAGACTCGAAATACATATTGAAAACACATACTGAATATTATTCCGATCGTTGGAATTCTCGCAAACATAATTGCCACCGATCGAATATACTGTTCGTCGGCACTGGTTCCCGGTATAGAATATATTGCAGCACTCAAGGTAATCTCATTAAAGATTATAATTACAATTGTAATCACAATTGCAAAGAGTTGACGTAATTGATGCTCATGTCGTGGATTATTGCTCGTGTCATGTGTATACTGCTCAGGTCGTATACGCTGCTCGTGTCGTAGCTCCGCGCGTAACATGTATTGCTGAAAACTTAATTTGAACAAATACTTGAGTGCATTCCTCGCCGTAACCGGGCACCTGTGCCAACCTAATTGATAATTTTGATCGTTAATATAACTATTTTCTTATTTTGTACATCCCTTGCAACCCTCTTCCTTGTTAGCTCTACACTGCATTTGACACCCTTTTCTTGCGTTCGCCATTGGCTCTTGCGATTAACAAACTTGTCATTTTGATTGCGCTATTATATCGTGTTTGAAGAACATTCTCTCGGGAACATTCCATTGAGCCTTCGCGTAGGAATCCGAAACGAGCCATCTGTTATTCCTCATCACTTTGACGAACGGGACGGTTGTTTGCTTTCGTTCTCTCTTTCGTCCCTTAGCATATAAACTTGAAGCCTATTGTTCGCCGGTATTTTCACGGGGCGACCATACACTACGCGTCCTTGGGATCGTTTGCCGTTGCTGTTGATCGTTTACATATCAACCAACATGTCGAAATCAAAGTCAGCTCCCTCTTGTCGCGAGTTATGCGTCCGGCGGATGCGGGAGATTCATGATCTTGCCCGGAACGCCTCGTCCGAACCGACGATCCTAGAAGGTTTTCTTGCCCGCTATCCGAGCGTGGCGAGAATCGCCGAGGACTTTGAGAACGCGCATCTAAAGCTTATACAAGAGACTACTGAGTTCGACGCCGAGGACGCGATTCGGGCAGACTTTGATAAAATGCATTACGCCGTGAAAGGACGGTATCACGCGCTCACGGGCACGGCGCCCGGAACCGCACAGGCTCATTCCGCGAGCCACGCGTCGGCGATCAAGTTACCCAAAATTACGCTTCCGCAATTTTCGGGCGATCTCGCGCTGTGGCCGTCTTTCATCGCGTTATACAACATCTCTATTCACGAGAACCGGAACGTCCCTGCCATAGAGAAGTATCAATATCTGATATCCTGCTTGAAAGGAGAAGCGCTGAGCGTCGTCAAGAACATCCCTCTCTCCGCCGATAACTACGCGATAGCTTATGACGCCTTGATTTCGCGATATCAAAACAAACGAGACTTGGCGGATTATCACGTGGACTTGATGTTGAAAGCTCAGCCGTTGAAGTCGGAGTCGGCCGTCCCCCTGCGCACGCTGTTGAGCACCTTCACCGAGAACACGCGAGCATTGAATCTATTAGGATTTCCTACAGACGCTTGGGATTATCTCCTTCTCAAATTCTTGCTGGAGAAGCTCCCTCGCTCGCTCCGCGAGAAGTTCGAATCTGAACACCGGGCGGAGGAAATACCGAAATTCACGCAGCTCACAAAGTTCCTCTCTGATCACTGCCGGGTTCTCGCGTCGGTATCGGGCTCACAAAATACGTCGCAAAAGTCTCAGTCGACTTCGTCAAAGAATTCCGCGTCGGCTTCGTCGCTCGCAACTCGAACCGCCGAGTGTCCGGTATGTAAAGAACAACACCCTGTTGCAAAATGTTCTCGGTTCTTAAAGTTAGCACCCCGAGAGAGGCATTCGACGGCTAAAGCTTCGAACTTGTGCTATAACTGCCTCCGCGCGGGCCACAGCGTTAATGACTGTCCATCGTCGTGGACGTGTCGGTCGTGTAAGGCCAAACATCACACGCTCCTGCATTTTGAGCAGAACTCGGGCTCGGCGAATGCACCCCCAGACGCCGAACCACCCTCCGAATCGGGGACAACGTCATCGCAGGGAAGCGAACCCCTCGTTAGCATGGCTAGTGTCGCGCGGTCGAACCCGATCGTATTGTTGTCGACGGTGCAAGCCGAAGCGCTCGACGCACACGGAAATCCCTTCCCCGTTCGTATTCTGTTGGATAGCGCGAGCCAGCTAAACTTTATCTCCAAAAGTTGCATGCAGAGGGGTGGTTTCGGACGAACCAAGTGCCATACGGTAGTTCTCGCGGTAAATGATACAAGGGCGGCTGCAACTCGAGGCCGCACTTCACTCGTAATACAAGCACAGGGCAGGGAAAGCACGCGCACCCCAGTAGAGGCTACGATTCTTTTGCGCATCTCCGCCCCGTTACCTAGCAGTCAGGTCGAGCGAAGAGCGTGGAAACATTTGAACGGATTGCGGCTAGCTGATCCGCGGTATCACCGACCCGGTCCCATCGACATCCTGATCGGCGCAGAAATCTTCGCGTCGTTACTTCGGGATGGCCGTCGCGTGGGAAAGAAGGGCGAACCAGACGCCTTCAATTCCGTCTTCGGCTGGGTTTTCGTCGGTTCGGTATCGACGCAGGCGCCGGGATCCACACATTCGTTTATGACTCTCGATTCGTTGGACGCATCTCTTAGTCGATTTTGGCAACTAGACGAGATTCCATCGGTCCCACCGTATTCGCAGGAAAATAAACGTTGCGAGGAATTATTCGCTCAGACCACGCGTCGGGACGCGTCCGGTCGTTTTGTCGTATCGTATCCTTTCAAAAGGGATAAACCTTGTTTTGTCGGCACGCGTCAAGTAGCCCTAAATAGATTTCGCGCACTTGAGCGTCGCTTTAAATTAGATGCAGAGTTTAAATTGAACTATAACAAATTCATGCAGGATTATTTGAATAACGGTTATATGAAACTGATTGAACGGCCGTTCCCGGTGGACGGACCTGTATTCTGTTTGCCCCATCATGGGGTAGTCAAATCGGATAGCACTACCACAAAATTGCGGGTCGTATTTGACGCCTCGGCGAAGGATTTGAACGGCGTTTCGTTGAACGACGTATTGCGATCCGGGCCTAAGTTACAGACGGATATAGTCGTGATATTGTTGAGGTTCCGGGTAGGCCGCGTGGCGCTCACTGCGGACGTCAGACAAATGTTCCTTCGGATCTTGGTCGAGCGCGGTCAATGTGGCTATCAGAGAATAGTCTGGCGTTTCTCGGAGAATGATCCGATATTAGACTACTTGATGTTGACCGTCACTTTTGGATTGACGTGTTCTCCGTTCCTGGCAATCGCCTGCTTGTTGAAATTGGCAACGGAAGGCAAAGTGAGTTACCCTCTGGCCGCGGCGGTCTTGGAGGAGAGCGTCTATGTCGACGACGTGGTGGCGAGCGTCGAATCTGAGAGGGAAGCCCGTGAGCTTCAGCGGCAGCTACAAGCTTTGCTTAAAACCGCGGGTTTCGGGCTCAGGAAATGGGCCAGCAGCCATCCGTCAGTCTTAGCAGGTCTCGATCCGGAGCTTTGCAGTCAATCATTGCTATCGTTTGAATCCTCGGAAGATCAGTTTCTCAAAGTTCTCGGACTTCGTTGGTATCCTCAAACGGACGACTTCGGCTTTCAGGTCCACCCGTTGGACAGAGATTGTACCAAACGCACCATTCTCTCGGAACTGGCTCGTATTTTCGACCCGTTAGGCTTTCTGACTCCCCTTACGTTTGCAGCTAAAAGACTGATACAGCAACTCTGGGTGCTCAAATTAGAGTGGGACGATAGGCCTCCTTCGGAAGTATGTTCTCGATGGGGACGATACAAATCGGAACTCCCCGCGCTAGCTTCCATTCGCATACCTCGTACTATCGCCATAGCCAACGTAATCCGACGGGAGATACACGGATTTTGTGACGCGAGTGAACAGGGCTACGGAGCCGTTGTATATATTAGAATCGTCGCCGAGGACGGGGTACTGATTCGAATGCTCAGCGCCAAGTCAAAGGTGGCCCCGCTTAAGGCCATCACCTTGCCGAGACTCGAGCTTTGCGCAGCCGTTTTACTGTCGGACTTAGCGGAGTATATCGGGAACATCCTCCGGCCTAAGATTACTATCGACGGCACGTACGCGTGGTCTGATTCCGAGGTCGCGCTCGCCTGGATACGTTCGGCCCCCCACCGTTGGAAGACGTTTGTGCGCAATCGTGTGGCCCGCATCCAGTCCAACACAGATATCTCTTGTTGGAGACATGTCGACACCAAGTCTAACCCCGCCGATTGTTGCTCAAGGGGCTTGTTTCCTCAAGAATTAGTGGATCACCAGCTTTGGTGGACCGGCCCTGCGTGGCTCGCCGAATTCGAACCCACTCCGGAAACGATATTGGAGACTGACGATTTTCCGGAGGAAGAAAAATCTCGTGCTTTTGTTGTTGTAAATCCTGCTGATGTCGTAAACTCTGCTTCTGTTGTTGATTCGCTTCTCGATCGTTTTTCGTCATTGGATAAACTCGTTAGAATATTCTCTTATTGTCTTCGTTTTGTTAATCGACTCAAGTCGAATTCACCTCACAGAACTCTTGTTGTAGACCAAGTCGAATTCCATTCGACCCTGCTAGATCTCGTTAAAGTTGTTCAATCTTGTTGCTTTGCAGAGGATCTCGATAGATTGAAACGCAATCAGAATTGCTCCAAACCTCTGCGACAACTCGCCCCTTTTGTGGACGCGCGCGGAGTCCTCAGGGTGGGCGGTAGACTCACGCACTCCGCAATATCTCATGAGGCCAAGCATCCCGCGTTATTGCCCGGTAAGCACCGGCTCACGGAACTTATAGTAGAGCGCACCAACCGCCTACACTTGCATCCGGGACGTCGAGCGTTGCATTACCTACTACTGCAGCATTTTTGGATTCTGGGGGCCCATCAGGCCATCAAACATTGTTTGTCGCGTTGTTACCGATGTTTCCGGGCGAACCCGCGTACCTTGCAGCCGCCCATGGCGGACCTACCACTCGACCGGGTACGTCAGGCCAAACCCTTCTCAATCGCCGGGGTCGACTACGCGGGACCCTTCTTCGTATATAATCGTCGTTCTCGCGGGGCAACGCCGTTCAAGGCGTACGTGTGCATTTTTGTTTGCTTTACCACAAAGGCGGTTCATTTGGAACTTGCTTTTTCCTTATCTACAGACTCGTTTTTGTCGGCTCTGAGGCGTTTCATCGCTAGGCGCGGTCGCTGCTCGCGGATCTACAGCGACTGCGGCACCAATTTCGTGGGGGCTCAGCGCGAGCTCGTCAGCTGCATGGAGGCGGCCTCAGGGCGAGAACAAATCCAGTGGTCCTTCCGCGCCACACTTTGGTGGCCTCTGGGAAGCGGGGGTTAAGGCGACAAAAACCCACTTGAAACGCGTGGTGGGAGCGCAGATCCTCACGGTGGAGGAATTCAGTACCCTCCTAGCACAGGTAGAATCCATCCTGAATTCCCGACCTTTGTGCCCCACCAGCTCGGATCCCCACGACCTCGGGGTGCTCTCCCCGGGGCACTTTATCACATTAGAGCCGCTCGTAGCGGTTCCCTATCCCGACCTAGACCCGGTGCCGATAGGCAGACTCGATCGATGGCAGCTGGTGCAGCACATGCACCAACAGTTCTGGAAACGGTGGCATGAAGAATATCTACACACCCTCCAGCAACGACCAAAGTGGCTAAAGCCGGCTGACGCAATATCAAAGGGCACGTTGGTCCTTCTAAAAACCGAAAACGCCCCTCCTCTGGCGTGGAGACGAGGGCGCGTCGAGGAATTGCATCCGGTGAGGACGGCGGATGGCCTCCTTAGTCGCCCTCTGGTGAAGCTGTGCCCTCTGCCGATGGACGGCTCACCGGAGGGACTCGCTCAAACATAGAAAATACGATGTATTTTGGTGGGCGGTAATGTTTGGCGCACCGCCGTGTATCATAGTGTAAATAGTAGCTAATTAT